CTGCGCCCGGAGCTGGAGGAAGCGTCGGTCCCGCTCCTCTCCTCTCCTCGCCTCAGCTGTGCGCTCGCTCTCCGGCCACCCGCGAGGTGTCAGCCCGAGCGGGCGGAGTTAGGCCGCCCGAGAGAGCCAATCCGCGGCACCAGAGGCGGGAACGGCCCGGCGACGGGCTTAAACTCAAATTAACCAAGACCGGAGGGAGAGCTGGGGGAGGCGGCCATTCATAAATTCAGCCGCCCGCCCGGGAGCTGAGTAGCCTTTGGATTCGGGGATGGTGCAGTCATTTGCACCTTGCGGCCCGCTCTCGCCTTCTCCTTCTCCTTCTCCGCTGGCCTCTGGCTAGTCTCTCCTTGCAAGAAGACAGCTCTTCCTGGATTCACTCGAACAAGGGCTTCATTCCTACCGAGGTGCGCCGGGTCTTCCTTCTTTCTGGAATTTCGGATTTCCAAAACCTTTGCCGAAAGTTATACCTACCTTGGGAGTGAAGGCGTTCTGCACGGCTTCGGCGGAGCTTTTGCTGCAGGGATGAACTTCTACGTGGAAAATTAGTCTGATGATCATTTTCATTTTTACAGGTTCACCTTTTTCCTTCCCGGCAGCTCTTCAGCCCGCTGCTGTGCTTCTGTTTTGAATTTACAGTAACCACTGCCTTGCTGGCTGGGTTGGGCAGGACAGAGATTCAACTGGTGCAGTTACTGGGAGATTCTCACCAGCTGAGAGTAAATGAGAGTAATATCTGGATCCTTCTGCACCTGTACAGCTTTCCTCAATTCAGCATCCTCCAGTTGCATTGGGACCATCCCAGCGTTTCCCGACCAGCACTGGCTGAAAAACATTTCCTAGGGAATTCTAGGAGCTGTGGTCCCAACACAATTAGAGGGTGCCAAGTGTACTGTGGTGTCTCTAGAGCTAAGATCAGCTCAAATTAAGTCTGTTGTATTCCTTGTCAGCACCACCAAATTCTCCCATATTTTACAGATATGACAACCAACACTAAAAGCCACTCGCTGCCTGACTGCAAAGTTCAGACATTACAATCCATTCACCAATCCACACTGGCTTTTATTGTTTTTTATCTTCCCTTTCCTCCAGTTCAAGGCAACATACTTGGTTCTTCCTATCTATTTTATACACACAAAAGGTTACTGGGCTAGACTATTGTTTAGTAGGCTATTAGGCTAGACTACTGAGTGAGGATATAAACCTGACTCCATTGTCCCTGAACAACATTTACCATCCATTATCTTCTATGCAGCATAGTGATGTAACCTGGAGGTGCAGAGCTAGAAAGGATGACATTCTGAAGAGCAGAAGAAGATTGTGCAGTGAAGCCTAATTAGTTGTGTTTTTTTAAAATGATAGTCCTCAGATATAGATTGAAAAATGTTATGACAGGACACTGACATTTAAAGTATTAAGTGGCCAGGATAGAACTCGAACAGAAATGTTGTTTACACTGCTTGATTTCCAAGTTCTTTTCCTGTTGCCTTTTAATTTGTAAAGCTGCCAAAATGTTACTCCACCCGGCTTTTAATCCTGTTTGATGCCTTGGGAGTTCATCTCTTTGAATTATTTTGGGACAGATTGTCTTATCTTGTTTTTAATCTTTTGTCCTTTTTGGATCACACCCAGAATCTTTAGTTTGGGGCAGGTTACAAAAATTGTAAATAAACAGAATAAATTAACTATGATTCCTGAAACAACACACCAGCCCAATTACAGAAAACATCCACTTTTGGCATCTGGAACATTTCCCCTTCTGTCCAATATATTCTTCATTGTGCACAACAGCTAATTTTATATGTCACAATCCTGCTCTCTGCTTTATCCACGTCTTCATCTCTGTGCCAATCATTTCGATTTTATAGAATATGGGAAAGCAAGTATCTTTGTGGAATGTTTTCTTCTTAAGACCAACATTCCAGGCAAACTTTTCACAGTCCCTATTCTGTTATGACAGCCAAGAAAACAAACTAAAGGATCACTGAACAAACCAACCCAGAGTTCTCACTCGAGGCACAAATGACCAGGCTCAAATTATCCTACTTCGGACATGTTAGGCGAAGACCCAGTTCTCTGGAGAAGGCTCTAATGCTGGGAAAGGTGGAAGCAAAGAGAAGATGAGGATAACCAACAGCAAGGGGGATGGAGTCAGTTTCAGTGGTGATGGGTGCACCATTGGGAGACTTGAAAGAAGAGGTTAGGGATAGATCATCATGAAGAAAATCTATCTATACGGTCGCTAGGAGTCGACACCAACAATGGCACATAATCAATCAGTCTGTTATGCAGAAATCACATTAGTTCACTAAATTGACTAAGATCACACAACTTACTTAACCAGGCAGCTAAACAGCCATATGCACCCAACATGTTAACTTCACATTTAACCCTTTGGGGGTTGCTTTAGAGTACTGTGTAAACCCAGCCAGTTTCGTTAGCTTTTAGTTCAATATATTGGACCCCCCACCCACAGAATATTTAACAATGAATCAACATGTTGTGCGAACCTAGACATTCAGCCACTGTGCAATACCACCCTGCCCCACAAACTCTTGGCCCCTTCACAAAGAATTGGAAAAAAAATTCAAACATACCACAGCCACCAGCAACTCCTGGATTTATTAATTCTTTGGGGATAATTCTGATCCTTTCTCCAAATGCCAGCTCTTCTACCTAGCATCCTTTTGCCATGCACATATTTTTATTTGCTGGCTATTCCCTAAAGCCATTTATGTTTTTCAAAGCAATGGAGTTTGAAGCCTTCACACAATGGGCAGAATGTTGAAACTTGCTGGTAAACAGGGAAGCAAAACGGAGTCCAAACTGGGGGTGGGGCAAAACAGACTTCGTATACTTAGTAAGAAAACTAGGAATGATTAGTCAAACTTTTAAGAAGTTGGTGGTGGAAGAAGTCCACACATACAGCAGGCAGACACAATCCAAGGCAAAGGCAAACGTGCTCAAATCTCTTCTCAGTGGCTATTCTGTGGCTAACACAGAACTAATCAAGCCCCCCTCCCTGTACAGAACTGTGTTATGACCAATTTCAGTAAGAGTGAACACATTCCTCCTGGAACAGTCAGCGATACAAAGGGAGCCTGAGGCCAGAAGGTGAAATTAATCAAAGAAATGACAGGCAGGCAGACTAAATACACACTGCTTTTTGATGAAGACAAGCAGGCTCCCGGGGCCATGGTTTATCTGTACCCAAGTGAGGAAGAGACACAGGTGGCCTTGTCCTGCCCCTGTGCTCTTCCACCACCAACCCGCCAGTGTTTCATACAGTTCGCCTGCTAAATAGCTGGTGGAAACAAGAGCTCCCAAAATGGGATCAACCCATCTGCTGCTTGCAGGAAACCACCATGGGAGCACAACGGATCATTCCCCTCCCTGTGAACGGCTCATGGAGAAACTGTTCTTCCATGTCTCTTCTTATGAAAGGGCATTGGTTAGGCTTCTTCCCAGCTTACTATCTCACTTTCTTGGAGTTTCTGAGTGAGGCTGGGGTAAAATACAGATTCCAAGGGATGAGGGAATCTCTCCTCCCCCCTTGCCCCTCCCATCCTACCATTTGTTTCCTCACTACCCTTCTAGCCATCTGTTATTTTGGTACTGAATTGTGTGTTTCTGGAATTGATATGGGCTGAGTCTGGGCCACTCACTCCATTCCACCAAAATCCTAAATTCATTTTCCCTCTTCGGACCACTGAATGCTGGATTCTCCTCGGCCCTTTGCTCCAGAACCCACTAGCGTTTCTCTGCTTGTTTCCATGGAGGACAACTTCTTCCTACCTCCTCTAGGGAGCTAGGAGGAGAGAGAATGCACAACCCTCAATACCACCACAGGAAGACACTGAGCAAAATAGGAAGTAAAGACATCATAGCTGCCTTGCAGAAATATGTCCAGCCAAGTGATGCACACCTCATCCTTAACAGTGTTTGGACTGTAACGATGCTTGAACAGTGAGACGCAGAAGGAGGCACACTGCTCCCTCTACTGCTCACAACTGAATACTACAGGCATTTACTTACACCACCCATGGAACAGCAATTCTATCCATGTCTTGGAGCTTCCCTGGCTGTTTCATCTTAGATCAGCCCCAGGAGCTGATGAAATATATCTGGTGCAGCCACAGTCAATAAATTGCTCCCAAATGCAAGAAAAGACAGGCATTTGAGAAATTATGCTCCTTCACATGACCTTCATTGTGCCTATAGCTTCCAATATGCTGCTCCCCTTAACACGAACAAAGGAATAGCAGCGGAAAGGGAAAAAAAACCTAGCGTCAAGAGTGGCCCACCATCTGTTCCAGTTTATGCTGCTGACAGGTCCTGAAACCTAGTATTTTGCGCAAAAGGCTAACACAGGCTTTGTTCTGTCTCGTCTTCGCGCCAGAGCACGCCGTCCCTACGGATGTCAAAAGAGGGACTGCGTGCCCTCGTTTCACGGCACGGGGCTCAAAGCCACACCCAGAAAGAGAAGGCACGCTGCTGGAAGCCAACCTGTCCAGAGCCTAGCTGGAATATAGCGAGAGGAGTGATGATAAGCCAGTGAAGGATGCTGCTACAGTCTACATCTGCAGCCGACGTCTCCCCTTAAGCTGGGGCCTCTAGTAAGGTTCAAACGGAGAAGCTCGCCCAGGCGTCTTGTAGCGTTAACCATCTAGCAGTTTAAGGATGCTCTCACGCTCCTTGAGGCTCTTCCAAGCCTGGTCTTTCTCCTTCTTGGTTGGGGTACGCTTCTTCTGCCGCGCTGCCATTATCTTGCGGAAGGCATCCATGACCTCGTTGTCGGCTATGCGCACGCGCTGCCGTAGCTCCTGCCTGTGCAGCTCCTCCTTGGCCAGCCTGTAAGGATAACAAGGCAAACAAAAATGGGAGCATCTGCAGATCCTCACCTCTTTTATCTGACTGTTTTTCCCACTCTGTTTCGGAGAACAAATGTTCAAGGTGAAAAAGGCAAAAAAGAAAAGAGGAGAGGAGAGGAGAGGAGAGGAGAGGAAAGGTAATGGCATCACCAAGACAGCAGTGGGAGTGGATGATCAGACTTGCCCCTCAGCTCACCTGAGCAGCTCGACTTTCTTGGTCCGGTTGTGCGTACTTAGGGCTTTGAGTTCAGCCTGCCTCTTCCGCAGCTCGGCTAACACTTCATCCTCCGAGTCCTCTGCAGGTCGGTCCTCTGACTCCAGCAGGCCTTGGGCAATCAGCTCTTCTTTGATGCGGCCTTCAAGAGATTTCGTGTGGGGTACACTGGAGGGGAGGAGACAACAGAAGCAGCATTACTAGAAGCCTGGACATCACACCTATTCAGTGTTCACTAACACATTTTAACAGCCCGCAGGGTCTGTGGGGAAAAGGCTCTGCCACACTCCTGGGGTCTTCTTCTTTAGGTGATGCACGTAAGCTACGCAATCCGGAGGTTTTTTACAAGTATATATGCAGGCGAAGACGGTAAAAGAGGGCAGGTCCAACAACAGACACCCCAGTTCCTGCCAAAAAACAAACCAACTTGCAATCACTCCTCTACAGCCACTTTAAACAAATCCATGCCCCACGTCAGTGAAAAGATCTCTGAGGCACTAATCGGCTTCCAGGCCCTGGCCCAGGGCTGCAGGAAATCAAAAAGCTAGCTCTGCTGGAGGGAAATGAAGGCCAAGTGGGACAATTCACTGAGCTTTGGCATCTGCTGCAGGACTGTATGTATGTATGGCAGCAACCATTTTCCTAGAACTGTTCCATTGGCTGGCCCTTCTGCAAATTCACTACCTGAGGCCAATATTGCTATCCTCCCACTGCCTGCTTCTTTTTCAAAAAAGGTATCCTTATCTTTTTGTACAAATAATACTGATTATTTGTATGTGCTTTTTATTACAAATAATACTGATTGTTTGTATGGGCTGAGAGTTTTTGTTGTTATTCAGTTGTTTAGTTGCCATTGATCCTTTGTGACCCTACGGAGAAGATTTCACCAGGACTGGCTGTTGATAACTGCTTGAGTTCTTATATGTGCATGCTTATTTCATCAGTGACAGTATCAAGTCAACCGTTGGACTCTTTTGATTTTTCCGAGCATCAGAGTTTTTTCTAACGATTTTTGCTTTCACATTTTGTATCCAAAGTATTTAAGCTTGATTAGAGCATCCACTGGCCAGCCTGATTTTACTTCATCTAGTATTAAATGACTTGTTTTTCTTGTGGCCCAAAGTATTCTCAATGATTTTCTGCATCACAATTCAAAACATCAATTTTTCTTCATTCAGCCTTTCTCGTGGTCCAGCTTCCACAGCTATTTGCTCCAATGTGGAAACTTGTGATGTCCACGCTTATTTCATGGCTGCAGTCACTATTCCTGTGGCTTCTTTTGAGCTTAGGAAGATAAAGCCAAGTTACTATTTCATCTCTTCACTGGGTTTGCATTGCCTCAGCTTCTTAAAAATATTAAACAGCAGACTATTTTATTTATTTATTACACTTATACAACCAGCTTTTGTTCTCTGTTGTTTCACCATCAACAAGAGATTCCTTAAGTATTTCTTGCTTTCAGCTTATCTGAGGTTACTGATGTTTAATTCCAATTTCTATTTCTTTTAACGCAGCATTTCTTGTGATATTTTCTGCACAGAAGGTAAATAAAGGGGACAGTAAACAGGCTTAGCATACTCCTTTTCCAATTTTGAGCCATTCCATCTTCTGTTCTAACTGTTGATTCCTGGTCATCATACAAAGTCTGCAATGGGCAGATGAAGTGGCCTGGTACGCTCATGTTTTTAAGGGCTAATCACAGTTTGTTGTGGTTTACACAATCAAAACCCTTTGTATAATCAAGAAAACAAATACAGACATCTTGATCTCAGGAGCTGTGATTTTCCTGAATCCAACTTGTACATCTGGCAGTTCTCATTCCATGGATTGTCTGGATTGTAAAATCTTGAGCATTATTTTAATGCACTATGACAGAAGTGTAATTGTTTAGTAGTTTAAGCATTCTTTAAGGCTGCCCTTTTTTGGTAATGGAATCTAAACTGATCTTTTCCAGTTCCTTGGCCACTGCTGTGTTTTCCACAGCTGCATACACACTGCAAGTACCGCTTTAACTATATCACCTGGCAAGGTTTTAAATGGTTAGGTTGGTGTATCATCAATAACGTAGCTCTGTTGTCAGCAATCTTTTCTGGGATCCATTTAACTTCACTTTCCAGAATGTCTGACTCTAGTTCAGTGTTCATAATTTTGTATGTATCATTGAAGGGGGTGGGGGATCGATACAGTTTTTCACGACATTTTTTCATGGCTTCTTTCTCCAGTTGATCTTTGCCTTGTCTTTTATTGTGCTCAATTTCATTTTTATACTTTCCTTAAATAATCTCTTGTCCTTCCAGTTTGACTGTTACCCTCAATTTCTTTGCATTGCTTATTTCAGTATAACTCCTTGTCTTTTCTTGCTCTTCTGTGGAATTTAGCTTTGGCTGGACAAATAAATATTCCTCTGTCTCTTTTGCTTTTTTTCCCAGAGATTTTCAGCATAGCAGCAGCCAGTCATTTTGCCTTCTTTGGGTTTCAAAGTATTTTATTTGTTTTATCTTTAATGATGTCATGAATTTCAATCCCAAGTTCTTCAGGCACTGAAGGCACTTAAATCTGGTCTTTACCTTTATTCTCTTTGCATACTGCTTTTCTTCAACTATTTAGTCTAGATTTTTTTCAAAGCTAGACACACATTTATTTATTCAGTTTAGACAGCCACCCTTTAAAAATGACTCCGAGTAATTCAACAAGAAACAAAAAGTAAGCCATCTTAAAAATATACCAAACATAACAAATTTCACCAAGGCAATTCAACAACCAAAACAATTATATCAGACAGAACACAAATTGCCTTGAAAGCCCTACGAAAGGCAGGCAGGGTTGGGGTTTTCTGGATCCTATGTGAAAAAGCTCCACTAAATTCAGTAGGAATTACTTTAAACAGACCTGCTTAGGTTACACTATTACTCTGTGATGCTTCCCAAACAGCTGAATGTGAGGAGCAGCGGGGCAAATATTTTAAGGAATGAAACGTGTTCAAAAAGGAAATATCTGTAATGCTCACCTGAAGGGCTTGTTCTGGCTGCGGGGGGAAGTGCTGGCACCATCAATTGCAGAGTCTTTGCCTGCTATCTCAGGAATAGGTGAATCTTCAATGGGGGAGATGATGTTCTCCTAGAGAGAGAGAGAAGTGGATTGAGAGGGGAAGAATAGAGACTGAGCGAGATCTTTTCACTAGACCCTCCCTTAGAAAATCTCAGCCTGTTGGAGCTGAAGAAGCCAGCTCTGTTTTTTCTCTCCTTACTTCTACAAGTGCCTGCAGAAGGCGCTGGGTGAGAGGTCCAAAGGGGCACCCATCCTCTGGCTGTTCATGCTGGGACTCTGATTTCTTCAACAAAGCATCAACATCTGGAGAGGAAGGAATGAAGAAGCAACTGAGAACTGAGAAGAATAGGTGAGTACCAGTTGCAAAAATGTGGGACTTTGCAGTGGGAAATTCTGGGATTCTCACCATACTATTAAAAATGAAGGAAATTAAACCTTCAGTGCATCAGAAGGGACTGACTATCCTACACACTATGCTAATTTTAAGGAACTACCAGCCAGTCCCATCTTTAAACCCCTGATCCCAATCAGGGTATCCAAACCTGTGGCTTCATTTAAAGATCAGTGGCTGGGGAATTCTGGAGTTGAAGTCCATACATCTTAAAGTTGCCAAGGTTGAGAAACACTGGTCTAGAGCTAATAAATAAATACATAAAGCAGAGATAAGGAAACCTCTACTTCTTCTGTTTCTGCTAAATGATAGCTCCCAGAAACAAGGAACTGAAGTTAGCAATAGTGAGAAGACAGTGGATTTTCTGCTCCTCTTATATAGGTGGTCCTCAGTTAACAACCAATTGTTCAGCAACTGTTTGAACTTACAACAGCACTGAATGGGTGGTACTTATGACTGGTCATTGAAGTTCCAACTGTTGCAGTGCCCCCAGGGCTATGTGATCATGATCCAGGCGCTCAGCAACCAGCTTGGATTTCCGACTGTCACAGCATTCCGCAGTCACATGATCACAATTTGTGACCTTCTCTGCCAGGTTTCCAAAAGCAAAGTCAATGGGGAAGCCAGCAGGAAGTTGGAAGTCATGGTCATGTGAGATCCTTGCTAAACAACCCATGGTGATTTGCTTAATAACAGTAATCAGGGACTGCCAGAACTGTCATCGCTAAGTGGTGTGGTCATATGATGTTGTGCTTTTTGACCGCATCATTTAACAATGGAAATTCTGGTCCCAAATACTGTCGTTAAGCAAGGAGTACCTGTAAAGTAAACTAAAAGATCTTTCTAGAAAAAAATGGCATCTTGTGTCTCTTCCATTCTGGAAGAGATACCACAGAGTAGCTCAAGATACCCTTAGTGTCCAGTTCTGTCAGAGGTCCCAAGATGCCTTTCTTCTTATCAGCAGTAGCTGCAGCCCGAGCCCCATCCTTCTGCTCCTCCAGCATGTCTTCCTGGGCCCAGCGTTGGGAGTAATGTTTTCCCAAGGGTGGGATCTACAAGGACAGGACAATGGTGCATGAACAAGAGTCAGCTCAGACACCAAAAGGGTAAATATACCCAAAAGAATTCAACTGTGTCTCAATACATAAATGTAACTATATGCTCCCTGTCCCTTTTTCAGATTGAATTCTAATCTGGCTGCCTCCATTCAACTCAACTGTTTCTTCTTCCTTTCCTAAATGTCCTACTTTAAATGATTATAGCACAATATTCATATTCACCTAATGGATCAAAGCGGTTTTACATCTAAGGCGGGGAGAATGTATAACCTTCCATCCCCATCACAGCATAGAATGTAATTCTACTGTCTGTGTAGATCCAATTTCCTTGAGATATCACACTTTCTTCAAAAATAAATAGAGCTGGTAGAGCCAGAGAAGATACTAAGAAGGGATAGCTAAAATAAACTGGAAATGGGAACATCTTTCCTCCACCTAAAGAGCCTCAAAGATCAGGGCAAAAAGAGTACCAAAAGTGTTTCTTTCTGCAGCAATCCCACAGTTGCAAAACTGGATAGAATCACAACCTGTTCTGCCCTGCACTTTTCCCTAGCCTTGTTCCCTCAATTCCAGCTGATGGAACAAACAGGGTTTTATCATTCAATGAGAAAGAGGAGGTTAAGAAGCACTGAGGGGATGGAGGTGGGAGGTAAAGTTGGACAAGTGACTGTTTCCTCAATTTTGTAACTGTGGGATTCTTAAAGAAAAAAATGATGTTCTCTCTGTCCAGATTTGGGCATGCTATTGTTTAAAATACTTTTCAACAGAGAAAACATACTCGCTTGAAAACAACTATCATGCTTTGATCCATAGAAAATATTAGGACAAGTCAACAGAAAACACTATAACACTTATTGTTTCCTACTTGGTTATGCTGACTGGAACTGCTAAGTTGTAGTTTAGCGATTTCTGAATTATTTGCTCTGTGCTCCAGTAAAGTCAGTATAGACCCCAACAGCCTTTTAGTCCTATCTTGACTCGCCTGATACAGAATTTGCCTTAGATCCAAAGTAAATACAACACAACAGTTTAATATGAGGACTAAATGGAGAATTAAGACTCAATCCAAATTTGGGGCAGATTGAATGAAGTGTTTCTGCTGTATTTTTTTTACCTTGTAGTGTTCAGCTTCATCTTCAGGAGGCTTGAGAAGATCTTCTAAGGTACGAACCTCCTCATTGGTGAGGTCAGCACAGTATGGCTCCACTGAGGCCCAGAATCTACAAATGTGAACAGTAAGAAGGAAACAGAACTACAGTTCAGGAAGATTGGTTATAACAGGGCATATGACTGTCTTAACATAATACATTGAAATTTGGATTACCAAGAAGCTGGAACCTTTTCTAGGAAAGGCTAGGAAGAGAACATTAACCCAAGCAATAACATAGCCTTTCCCAGCCCAGAGCCTCCAGATGTGACAGTCATGCTGAGAATGGGGATTATGGGAATTGAAGTTCAACATCTGGAGGATCCCGGGGCACTTATTCTGATAGTACAGTCCATGTAATGAGGGCCAGTAATAATTGCCAGATATCGTTAAGGCAATTTTTGTGCTGGGGGTGTATGTTTAGTGGCCCCATTTTTTTCTGCCTCCTCTTTTGTATATAAGGCTGGAGGTTAGCCATTCCTGCTGAACTACACATGTATTTCTTCATGGTGCTTCATAATGTAAATACTTATGATGATGAAGAAGGTGATGGCAAACTCTTTCATAGGTACCTGTTAGGTGCATCATTTTTGGGAATACGGGGCACATCAATTGGATCATCTGAGAATTCATACTCTTGGATTTTAGGCTGCAGGTTCTTGGATTTGGGCCGGCCTGGAGTGCTGTGGCTTCCTTTCACATCTAGCTTCTGCTTCTTGAGCTTGCTATGTTTGATAGAAGGACCCACCTCATGGTCCTTGCTGATTTTCAGAAATCGCCTGTCTCCTTTCTTGTCTTGCCAGTCTGTCAAGATCTGATGAGAATGAACCAAAGAAAGAAAAAAGCAGGTAGGTTAAAAGAAGGTCAGGTAGCTAGGTACCTATACCTATCTTGGAATAAAAGCAATATTATTAACCTGGAAAGAGAAACCAGCAAAAGGATTCTTCTGCAGAACTGCTGCATTATGGAACTCTTACTAACATCAGAAAAGCCCTGCTGGAACAGATCAACTCTGTTCCAGCAGGTCTATCTCATGTACGATTTGTGTTATGTGTGGCTAAGCTGATGCATTTAGGAAGTTCATGAAGAAGGACAAAAAATGGGGCAGTGTTTCCTCATGTCACTAATAGCCACTGGTATTTAAGGTATGCTGCCCGTAATTGCAGCATAATAAACAGCTATTGAGACTAGTAGTCACTGGTAGTTCAGTCTTCCGTAAACTAACTCCTCAGCTAACTGTGACAGAAAATCCTCCAGGAGCAAGGTAAGGACATGGTCTCCTGACCCAGATGTGACTAACTGTGCCACTATCTAAAGACTACACAAGTTTAGCTTCTTGGACTGTGATCGTTTCTCAGCTGTCCTTAAAGGCAGGGACCTCCATGGGCTCTGCCATCTGGATAGCAGGCCTCGCTATTTTTTCACTTTCTGAAGATTACTTGTCTTTCACGGATATAAGGACTGTGTGATCAATTATATCTAAATAAAGGGCAGCAACCCGGAAGACCCAAGCTGAAGGGTCTTCTTTCTATGAAAGCTAATTACCATCTGACCTGGGTTTCAGTCTCCAGCACCCGAAGTCGGCGGCTTGCAGATGACAGCAAAGTTTCAAGCTCCAACTGTAACGTGTCAAGCTCTTCAATGCCAATACCATCATCTTCAGAGCGGGCCAGTACTGCGGTGTAGCGCGGGCACACCTTGAGATGGTCCACAGACTTGAAGTCATGGAATTGAAGGGGACAATCCTTCAGTTCAGACATGGTGCTGCTGGGCCTGAGAAAAGAAAAAAAGAAACATGACAGAGGCAAGCATATAAAGAGTGACGCAAACAATTTGCTAAATAACAGTAAACAATTTGCTAAATAACAGTAAAAAGGATGAGGGAATGAGTGAGAAATTACCCTACCAAAAAATCTTACCCTACATAAATATTGGAGACAAGGAGTTCGTCACAGCCAGGAATCTTGCAGAGATGGAGATATCACTGCAGGCATCGTTGAATTCGGAAAAATCCATAGAGTAAGAAACAAAAGTTATCTAAAAAAGCAAAGGATGACCAGGCAATGCAGGCTGACGGGTAGATACTGCAGACGAGACTAGGAAGTGAACAATCTGCAGAGGGAAGGAGAGGACAGACTAGAAATTTGAGGGAACTCTCTGCCCGGCGAGAATGATGTCCTAAGTAACGAGGATGGAGGGAACGGGAGCCTGATGCTGCTTCAAAAAGGATATGGGAAGCGCTAAGAACTACGGACGCTGCAGAAACAAATGATGAATGAGGGGGGAAACAAGCCAGGAGGGGGCGCTGGAGAAAGGCGGGGGAGATTATTGGGGGAGTTTCCGGGTCTAGAGGCTCCTTCCGGGTTACACCCCCCCCCGGAGCGCGCCAGGAAAGGAAAAGGGGCGCTGCGTATCCCACGGAGACGCGGCAGTCGCGCGCGAGGGAGACTCCCAGCTGCCACAGGGGCGGGAGGGAGGGTGAAGGGGAAAGTATCACGCCACAAAACCCCTCTGCCCCGAGACTTCGCTCCCGCCCCTTCCGCCTCAGCGATCGAGTCTTGTCATTGGCCAGACGCTCCCCCTTCTTGCTTCGCCCTCATTGGCTACAAGCCAACCCGTGAGGGCGCGGAGCTGGGGAACTCCTCGCGTTCAACTGCGTTCTTTTGACCCCACCCAGGTCCTCTCTTATTCCCAAATATGGAGGCAGGGAGGATGGATCATACCATACCGAAAAATGGGGGGAGGAAAATGAATTTGTCTCGGTTCCTACGTGAGATGCTTCGATCTCCTTCGGTGCCGCCCGGAAACCCTTTATCCTCCGTCTGGTGCGTTAATACCTCAGAGAGAAAAGAATTAGGGTTAAGATCTCGCGCACTCACCCGGGGGACATGTTGGAACGGCCCAGGCAGTCCGGAAGTGGATATTTTGTTTGGTGGTGGCCACTTCCGCTTCCGTTTTCTGGACCAGGCCTCGGGGTGCCGCCGCTGCCAGTCTCTTTGCTGCCATGGTGAGTGGGCGGCGGGCTTTAGAGGGGCGCTGGCCCTGGGAGCGGAGGCGAGGGAGAGAGAGACAGTAGGCGAGACTGGCGGGAGGGAGAGCGGGGCTGATGAGGTGGAGGCCTGCATGGGAGAAGGAGGCTGGGCTGGAGGTCGGTTGAGAGCGGCCAGTAGCTTGCAGGATGGAGCGTAGGCGGAGGGAAGAGTGCGGCCAAACCCTTCGGCGGGATTGAGGCCCGCACGGCTGGGCCCTGCGAGGGACCTGAGGCAGCAAGACCCAGAAAGGGCGCCTGCCTCCGTGGTTGTGGAAAGCTCTTCGCTGACATCGGAGCGGCCGAGAGCCCTTCTGGGTGACGGGAGGGGGATTTCAAGGACTAGGCTTGAGGGTCTACAAAACCCGTGATGCCTGCTGTTTTCCTCTCCCTGCCACAGACAGCCACTCTGCGCCCCTATCTCAATGCCGTGCGCGCCACCCTGCAGGCTGCCCTGTGCCTGGAGAACTTCTCATCGCAGGTGGTAGAGCGACACAACAAGCCTGAGGTGGAAGTCAGGTCTGTGCCTGAGGGTTAAGTGGAGGCGGAGGAGATTGATTATGTGCCATCGTTTTGGACTCCTAGCGACCACATGGATAGATTTTCTCCACGATGACCTATCCTTAACCTGTTCTTTCAAGTCTCCCAACGGTGCACCCGTCGCCACTGTACCTGAGTCCGTCCCCCTTGCTGCTGCACTTCCTCTCCTTCTCTTTCCTTCTGCCTTTCCCAGCATTAGAGCCTTTTCCAGGGAGCTGGGTTGTCACATAACGTGTCCGAAAAGTTTTATTATGGCCTTGTGAGGCGTAGCTTTCCCCTCCTTCAGAAATTGGATTGAGTAAAATGCTTTTAGAAGAAAAAGATCTGCCCTGATTTGTTAAAACAGCAAATGCAAACCTAAAGGGCAGTTGATGGCAAAGCTATTTAAAGATGTATAGAGATGGACAGAAAATTGATGGCATGCAAAACTCTGAAAACAGCACGGAGGTGTCAAAATGAATGACATGTCATAAAGATTGTCATGGAACCAGGGAAGAAATGTTCAATTAATATGTTGGGCTAAGTTCTTAGTGAAAAGAATTTGTGCACATTTTTCACTTCTGTTCTCTTGTCTTACACTAAGGTTTCCGGTAGTACTGTATCATACACACACACACACACAAAATGCTTTCTGAAGTTTTAAAAACTTTTTATTCAGTCTTTTGATGTTGTAGCTTTAGATTCATTTGGTTCACCACTAAGGTTGTAACATCTCATTTTTTACTTTTTTTTTTTTTTGCTTCTATTTATTCTGCTTTATTTTGTGGTTGCAAAAGCATTCAGCCTAATATTCATGGTTTATATATTATGCTGTTCTGTTGTGATATTGCCTCATTCCACTGCTTCATTCCAAATTAGTGATTCTTAAATAGACCCTTAGCTCCTGGTGCATCCACAGATCTTGAATGGTTGCTGCTGATCTAAAACGGTTTATCAAGCTTTGTAAAACTGAACACTCCCATTTGAATGAGTTACTTTTCTTTCAAGAAACAACTCACACGTCATTGAGATGTTTATTTTTTATTAATTAATTAATTAATTAATTAAACTTACATGCCACCCATCTCCCCTAGTGGGTGACTCTGGACAGTTCACAATTAAAATCAAACATCAAAAATAGTAAAAAATATAAATATCCACATTAAATTACAAAAAAAAATCATACTATATAAAAAGACTGTATACATACATGTTCAGATCTCCATTCTCCTAGCAGTTTCTCCAGAAAGGATAGCTGTGTCTGGCAACAGTAATTTTTTTTCAGTTGCTGTGGTTATTTTGCTGGTATTGCCACTGCCTTTGTAGTTGTCAGCTTTCATTTTTTGCTTCGTTTTCTTCCCTTTCTGTACTTCCATTTTCAAACCTTGAGTGTTATAAGTGTATTTCAGTTGAAAACTCTCTGATTTCTATAAGAGTTTTCATGTTTCCTTCCCATCTTCCTCAGTGTTGCCTTTAGTTCTTTTTGCAAATATGGATGTTTCTTTATGCATACCTAGCACTTTAAAAAACACTGAGCTCTTTCTCAGCTCCAGTCAGTCAGTCTGTCTTACCTTTTCCTCTTCTTTCACAGTGAGTTTATAGGTTCATGATTATGTTTTAATAGATATAAAACAGTATTTCATGTGACATAAAAATGTTAACTGTGCACCCATCTGATGAAGTCCTGGTCTACGTGCATCAGTAGTCTAAACCTACTCACAATACTGGACTAACTAGTTTCTCTTGCAACAGGTTCAGCTAACAAATTATGGACTGTTTCATTTATGGTTTGTTTCCATTCTGGTTTGGCACATACGACTCTATTAGATATCTACTAGCTCACCTTCCTTTCCAGTACATTTGCTTGTTAAATAAAATGTACCTGAGATGGTCTGCAAGTTTCAAATATGGTTATGTAAGACATAGTGATGGTTATCAATATTAATGATGGCCATAGACCAGGTTCAGAATATGAATTGCTAGAGAACACAGGCCAGACAGTGTTATGGCACCCAGTTTTTGCTTGGGGGTTCCCATGTAGTGTGGCCTCAGTAGGAGTAATATGATGCATTATATAGGCCTTTGATCCTCTTACGTTTTTAAGTTGACACAAATAGGTTAATATTAGAAAGAATCAAACAACATAAAAAATCCTCTTGTTATAAATCTAGAGTATTTTGCTGCTTTGCTGTTGTATCTGAAGTGGTGTACTGTATGCTTTATGTGCTGCCAGCCCAGCAACATTTTCTTTTACTAGCTCAATCTCCCCATTTTCCTCCCCAAATGACTTACTGTGCTACATGTCTTGAGGTGGGTCAGATTGCTGTCTAGGTCCATCTTGCTTCCATTTGTTGTATTTCCTGTATTTCCTTTCAAAGATCATTTAAGGCCTTTTAACCCACCCTAGCCCCCCACCCCAATTTGCATAAAGTGATTGCTCTGTACTGGCTCCTATCCAGTCCCATCCTGAGACTTCATAGATTTCACTTGCAGACTATTCCTCAAAGAAATTCTTGCAGCACCTCTTCTCAGGCATATCTATTAGTTGTAAGTTCTATTAAGAAAAGGAGTACAGTGAAGAAGATCTATAGTTCAGTGGGAAAAGCCCTTCCCTGAGAAACCAAAATGCTGCTGGAAGCTAGTGGAAACAGGATTGAGCTGAATGGACCAATGGCCTGATTTAATAATACCTGAGAGCTTTATTCCACAATTTATTTCTCAAGATTTGTTATTTTCCTCAGTCTTTTTAGGACGTAGTTCCTAAACATACTTTAGGGATCTGGTTAACTGTACAGTACGTCTGTTGCAATAGTGTTCTGTAGAATTTTGTTAATTTTGTTAATTAATCAAGTCTTATAGGGATACTGCTATATATAGATTAAAAACTTTGTCATCCATTTTAGTTGAACTTGTTTAGTTTTTTTTTCTATAACTGAAACATTTTTTAAGGTTTATGTCTGTATTTTGGAGCACTTATAGGATGTCCCTGGAAATCTGTGTAAATTACTTTGCACTTTAGAATGCAGTCACTTGCAGCTAGAGAAAAGTGATTTAACAACCCATTTGAAATTGTAGAGGAAGCCATGTAATTCCTGAATGCCGAGAATGCTTGCAGTTCAGTTTCAAGAAACTGAGTCATGAGAGTAAAAAACCTAGACAAATATTTAAACAGTCTCAGATGTGAACCAGATTGTAATATCAAAATGTAAATATGGCTAATGCACTGCAGTCAGGTGGTTGCATTAGGTAGCCTCAAAGGCAACAGCAATTTTGTTTCTATCTTGCAAGCAGTAACAGAGCTCCGATATTCTCTTGCTGTTTCCATCACCCACTTAATGTCAGCTATATACACTTGTGTTCCCCTGTTCCTTCTGAAGCCTGCTCATTCAGTTGCTACTTCTCTTTCCATATAGGCCTCTATCCTCTTGTGCAGAATTTTCAACAATATCTTGCTGGCATGTTAGAACATTCCTTTAAATTTTCCTTTTTAAGGATGAGGATATAGATAGGCTTTTTCGAGTCTTTGGACCATGCTGCTTTTTCTCATATTTGTTGGCAGAGGGCTGTTATGACCTTTATTATTTCTGTGCCAGCCTCCTTGGAGATTTCACCCATTCCCTGGGGCTTTCCTATTTTGCCAGTGGTTTTATAGCTCATCTGACTTCCTCCTCAAGGCCTAGTGATTCATCCTCAGTTTCTTCTCTCTCAAATAAGACTTCATCTGAGTTGGTCTTTCACAGGTATTCTGCATAGTATTTCCATTTTTTAACATTATGATCCATCATTAACTCCTTTCCATGCTTGTTTCTTATAATATTAATATTAGGCTGGAATGATTTCTCAGATTTTCTTAAACAGATCCTTTGCTCTTCCTGGTCTGTTACTTTTTTCTATTTGTCTACACTCTGAATTCAGATATACTACTTTATCTCTCCTTGCCTGTTGGTGGAAGTGTGCATTAAATTCTCTGGTTTTCCTGAGATCTCCTTTGGCTGTTGCCATTTTTCTTTCCATAGCTATTTCTGTGGCCTTGTTTGATAGCCAGCCTTCTTTGCTTCCTTCTGGCTCTTCTTACGTGCTTCATCACTTACAGTCATTTTAACTTCTTCCCACAATTCTTCATGTTCTCTATACATAGGTCCAGGTTGTTAAATCTGTTTCTAGCCTGAATCTTATATTCTTCTGGAATGGGTTTTTGGTTATTCTCATTGGGATTGGATCTTTTCTAGTTTTTTCCCATCTGATGTGTATTTCTCTCACTGCTCATGGTCTGATCCACAGTCAGCACCCAGAGTGTTTTTCAATTCATCATAGAGCTTTTCTCCTGTTGCTATGTAAGATGGTATGTATTTGATTATTTTGTTGTTCATTTGGAGATGTCCAGGTATAAAGCTGTCTTGTGTGTGGCTGAAATAACGTGTTAAACGACACACAGCCCATTTTCTCTATATAGCAGTCTATCAGCTATTGTCCTGCATCACTGTGGGTTCCTAGTACAGCTTTCCAACCATTTTCATCATGAGAGGCACGTTTCAAGATTGTGGATTTGGAAATATAATGAGTGGGATGAGGACAGGTTATGATGGCATGTTAAAATAGATCCAGAGGATGGAATATATGGGCCTCTGTATATCCTAGTCTCTGATGTAAAAATGTCTTTGTGGGTTTGCAGAAGCAGCAAAGAACTACTGTTGCAGCCCGTGATCATTAGCAGGAATGAGAAAGAGAAAGTCTTAATTGAAGGTTCTATCAACTCTGTACGAGTTAGCATTGCTGTGAAACAGGTAAGTCAAGCATGTTAGGTGAGGTGCTCACTGCAGCTCATTGTGGAGAAAATGCTAATGGATTCCTATTTTCCCTTGGCAGGCTGATGAGATTGAGAAAATTCTATGTCACAAATTTATGCGGTTCATGATGATGAGAGCAGAAAACTTCTTCATTTTACGTAGGAAACCAGTTGAGGTGGGAAATCTGGAGTCATTGCCATCTTATGTGTGTGATTCTGTTGACAGCAATGGTTGTACCAATCTGCAGGTTATGTCACATGTTAAGCTCTCCATCAGACATAACATTTCCATGTGCCTCTTATCTTTAAGGCATATTTTATCAATAACAATAATCCCTTTTCACAAATGAAAATCATTTATGATGATTCAAATAACATAGCTTTCTTAGAACACTGTTGTGTTTGATTTGGTCTGTTTAACCGTGGATGAATTGTGTGAACACAAATATCCTGGGTTTTGTGCTAGCTGTTGGTAATGTCTATTTTTTATATACACTTGGAAGAACGGGATTGAGGCAGGATATAACTAATTAAATAAATAAATATCTGCATAATTGGTGATGTTCCCTTATCAGTACCTAGAATAATCTGTCTATTTTCTTGATTCCTTTCAATTGTTGGATTTATTGATTATGTAGGTAGCATGGACTGATTTCAAATACTGTATTAATATGGCAGAACTTACTTCTTATGCACAAATATTAGATCTTTAGATCCCAACTAGCAAAAAGAGGCTAGATATTTTTGTCCACGCTGAATCAGTAGTCAACAAAATAGAAGAAATGATGGCTGAGTCTTGGCTTCACTGATGTTAATAATTTGCTGTGTTGTTTTTATTTTAGGGCTATGACATCAGCTTCCTGATCACAAATTTCCATACAGAGCAGATGTACAAGCACAAGCTGGTGGACTTTGTCATTCATTTTATGGAAGAAATTGACAAGGAAATCAGTGAAATGAAGCTGTCAGTCAATGCCAGGGCTCGCATTGTGGCAGAGGAGTTCCTTAAGAATGTAAGGGCTTATTCGACAGATTATAGAAATGATGCCCAAATAGTATGTCAGAATTCACCAATCTCCTTTGGCTATTTATTAGGCAGGACTTCAGGCTATTAGATAAAAATAGAGAGAGTGCACCTATCATTACAAATTATTAAGAGGGAAGATGGAGTTATGGTCTACTAAAACCTTTAGAATTAAGAAGGGCTTTTTTCTAATATTGTCTGCGAGCATGGGAGTCTTAGATTCAAATCCTTTATCTCTAAGGCTTATCACATAGGGTGAAAAAGTAGTGTTATATAAATGAGTTAGAACAAGTCCATTGTGGTTCATTGTAGAAAAAGCTCCAGTGGGAATCAAATTGGTCCTTGTAGAATTTTATGCTCCGAGTGGTATGAGTGACAAGGTGCTGTGAACACCAGTGGAAATGCGAAAGCTTAGGGGAGAGGGACGGTAAAATGGGAGGCGTATTTTATTCCATTATAAAATTGTAATCTTGCTCATAAGATAGTTATTTTCAAACTCTGTGAGAACCTGATGGGGTTCTGTGAGAAACTAAAGGTGACGAAGAGATTCACTGAAATGCAGGGCAAGTTTTCTAACATACTGTAATGGGCAGAAGGAATAACCTTGAGGAACAGGAGGAAGAGTCGCTATCAAGGCAACAGTCAGATAAAAGGAACCTGAGTCTGCGGCAGAACTGTAACTTGAGAAAATGTCTCAGACAAGACCCTCTGTAGTTCTCATGAAGATGAAGGGAGGGAGGGGAGAAGCACATTCAGATTTGCAAGGTTCTTGCATGACCCTGTTGGCCTGCATGACTTCGGTTTTCTAGTCTGTTCTACCCTGAAGGGCTGATACATACTGTGGAAAGAGTAGGGCTTTTTCTCCCACGAAGAAACACCATGTCCACCATTTTGTCGATTGTGGTTCAAGGATTTTTTTTTTTTTTAGAACAAACAGGTTCTGCAGTATGAAAAAGTTTGAAAACCCCTGCTCTAGGATACTGTCCTAAAAATTGCAATGATTATGCTGTGTGTACTTATGTGTGTGAGAGGACATTGATGGTATTTTCCTTGGTTAATTTGTATTATATCAGTAGTATTAATATAGTTGTGAATTAATTGATTTCTCTCTTTTTTCCCCCCCCCAGTTCTAGACCAAGGGCTGGAATCCACAGCTTTGCTTTCTCATTCTCTCTGCACCGCTACCTTACTGCGGCTACAGGGAGGCCACAGCTCAGGAGTGAAATGAGAAGCAGCTAGATCTGCGAGGGCTGCCCCAGCTAAATGTACACCGTTCTCGCCAGTGTGCCCAAGGGAGGGGAGGGGAGGGTGCTTTTTAATATTTTTGGAACAAAACTGTGCTTGTATAAGATTGTGTTGACTTGATATTCTTTTTTTTAAAAAAATATACGATCACTTGCTGTAATTTGTCTCCCTGAATGTACTAGTGGGGAAGGTGGGATGAGTTGCTCTAGCAACCCTCTGCAGAAGTTGCTAGGGGAGGTTCCAGTTCAGTGGTGTGTGTATGAAGATTGCCTGCAATAGCTGACAAAAGCTGCCATTTTCTGTAATGTAGGGACCAGGAAAAATGAGAACTGGAACATTTCTGTCATTTAATGAGTCTTGGAGCCTTCTGTGCAGAGGTGATTATTGGAGGACTACCTTGATCTACTTTCCTAGTGATGTATAGGGGTCATGATTGCAGGCAAAGTGGGTGTTGGAAATGGCAAGCCTTTTGTGCCAAGTCACTCCATAAACTGGAGAAGGTGCTCTTCCCTGTCCATCTTTCCCATTCCAGTAGGGATTAGAGCATTCTGAACACAGCACTGCCTCCTGTTCCTACCCTTCGTTTTCCCTTCAATACCTGTGCCAGAAGGAACTGTAGGGGGACTGGGCCAGGCCACGCGTCAGGCGAATGGGACGGAGCTGGAATCTGTAACTCTTGTTTCTTTTTGCTATGGCACTTGCTGTATCTTTCTTACTTTATCCTATTAAAGCCTTTTTGTCTTTGCCTCCTGAAGTAAGGATTCTTGTCTAGCTTTACTGGGGTTTCTTATATATTTCCATCTTGCCGGGTGGGGGCGGGTTGAATTCCTGTTTGCATCACAGTGACTAGATAGGCCGCAAAGAGAGCAATACAAAGTTATGCTGGCATTTTTGTAGCTTATTCTTTTTGCATTGCTCAAAAAAAGCAAATCACTTCCATGGACTTTTCCCACTGTTAATACATTATTAATGTATTACCCAGCCCAAATTCCTATAAAAAACAGTATACTCTGAAAGATGAAATTATCTCTGAGCTCCTACTTTTGAAATAAGAATTATTTTTACAAGGTAGGCTTTGCTGTACCTTTTCCTAATGTTTAGAAACAGGGAGTTTACAGTTCTGTTTTCTCTTCCTACTGGCTTGCAGTGGCACTTGAAGGTATGATTTTAATAGCATGACACCTTTTATCTGAATAAGATCAAGGCACTCCTTGTATTTTAAAGTTTTTAAACAATGAAATAACTGCCTTAAGTCACTAGCGAAGTTCTGAATAGCAGGTAGCTGATCCCTTCTTTACCTCGTTCTTGAAGAAAAAAGATACAAATAAAAATCAACAAACTCTTACTCTGAACTTTTCTCTCCAACACTGTCCCCCACCCAAAGGCCTCTGCTGTCTTGACAGATTATAAAATGATGGGTTTATACTGTTCCCTTTCTTTACATAAAAAGCAGCCTTGATAATTCCTCAGTTCAACTGCTGTCGCGGTTTAGAGACTGAGATATACTATAGTCAGTAAAAAGGTGAGGGTGGTTTTGATCTGATGCCCTGCTGGCAAAATTCATGCACACATACTATGTGTGTGTGTGTGTGTTTTCTTTTCCACCTCCTAAGACAGAAATCTAAATCAGGAAGGGGAAATGTACTCCAAACTCCCACATGCCTTCCTAGCAGGCATGGCTGATTGCGAGGAATTCTAGGGACTGCCAGCAACATTTATACAATCACTGGTTGTCTACTCCCTCTAGATCATTAAATGTCATATTTGCATCTTGTAGCCGCTAGTATTACATATGAACCCTCTTACCTCATGCTTCTTGCAATCTTACTGGTTGCCTGGCTGAATGTAACACCTCACTGCTGCTGAAGTATTCGCAGCTTACTGAGCTGGGTCTTTTTGTCTCAGTAGGTCTCATCCATAACAATGCCCAACTCTAGCAGTACAACCTCTTCTATAAATCCATGGAAAATAGTAACAAAACAGGCATTATTCCTGTCTTTGGAATAAAAGTAGCAGACATCTCCTTCTCACAGTCTTGGATGAGGGATGTGGGAAGCAAAGGCACAGGAGAATGAAATAGAAGTTTGGCCCATGAAATGGTTCTGGTGTCCTCTGATGTCATAGCTGAGACATCCTGAACACTCTGCAAGTTCCATGCAGTTGACTCAACGATACCATTCATCCTCTTACAAGGTAGGCCTCAAGCTTAGGGGGCTTATTTTCTAATGAGCCATAAACATTCTCACAGGGCCCCACCTGAGCGTCATACATGCTCAACCCGAAGTAGGGTTGCCCGTGCTGAATCCAAAGTTCAATATCCTTTTGGCCCCGCCTAGCTTTGCCCACAGTTCAAGACAAACGTGAAATGATTCATCCAAGCTAGCAGGGTGACAGCCTAAGCCACACTAGGGAAATGCCAGCGTGCTCTTTTTTTGTATTTTAATGTATTAAAATACTAACCCCTTGATGCAAGAGAACTATTTACAGCGCCATCCAATCAGCAAAGAAACTAGGTTAGTGTGAAAAGTTCCATAAAGTCTGCTTTTCAATAACCTGTACACACACACACAACACACGGGGTGGTGGGGGTGAACCTCTTGGGCTAAGGTCTTCTGTAATGGAGTGCATTACACTGTAATGAGAAGGCTCTTTTCCTAGCTGGCCCTCGGCTAGGGTGGGCGATGCTTCCATCATAGATTGTTAGGGTCTCTGCCTCTGTTTAAGAGCAGATGCAACTACGCGATGTGGTTTTCATAGCTGCTCAACCGGAGGTTCCCTGAGCACACGAAGCCAAGCCCACCCAGCCACCGTTTCCCTTCGTTCTCTGCTCCCACACCCTGGGACGCGTCCCGCGGGTTTCGCTTCCTCCACGCGCTTCTCCCCCACGGCGCACCCGGCTGTCCTCGAGCGTCCTCGCATCGCCGGCTCTCCAGGCCTGCGGTGACCCGGAGCGGGCCTGCTCCCCAACTTTCCTTTCCACGCACTCAGCCCCAATACAGCACTGCATGAAAGAGCAGGAGGCGGGAAGTGTCTGCGTGCGAGAATGTGGGACCCATAAAAGGGGCTTCCCCGCGCTTCCTAAGCGGTGTCAAAAGAGGGGCATTTTTTCGGGGTCTGTTTCAGAGCTCCCTAGTCACGAAATGTGCTTTCTCCTCCGCCCGCTTCGTTCACCGCGATGCCTTTCTGGTGCACCGGAATGCATGACCCGTTCTGCCCAAATGCAGTTAAAAAAATGAAATAAAGCAAAATGGGGAAAGGGTAAAGCAAGCCTCCCCGCCCGGCGGCATCTACCCCGGCGCTCCAGTTTCCATAGAAACTCCAAACAGCCGCCTGGGAGTCGTCTGTGGAGAAGGAGCTGCCCGGGCCCGCGTCGGCGGGAAAGGGAGATTCAGCCTCGGAGTCCCGTCCCGGTTCGTATTGCGGATGTCCAGCCTTGGGAGGAGGGCGTGGGAGGGGAACCGGGCGCGCGGCGCTGGCTAAGGCCCCGGGGTGGAGTGTCGTGGCAATTTTGCAAAGGCAGAAGGTCCCAGCCTGCGCTAGAAGCCTATCTCCTCCTTCCCCTCCCTGTCCCCTTTGGGGGCTGCCTGGCGAGAGAAGTGGCCTTTGGACATGCTCAGAGACGCTCTTTTCCTCTGTCATAAATGCAAATGTTTGGGGCTTGAATCCTGGTTCAAAGCCCTGCCTTTATGTGCAAGTGGAATGGGGCTTCAGCAGGAATGTGGTGCCTCATTTTTATGGGTATAG